GGACTTTCATTCCAAATACCCCTCTACCTGTTACAGTACCTTGTCACAGAAATGTAAATAAAGTAACTGTCTAATTTTTTTTTCATGATCAGCATATTATAGTGCTTTTGGATAAGCAAAACAACCCAAAGTTAGCGGAACAATTACATCTTTTACATACACATATATGACAGAGAATACTTATGTTATATAAAAGAATGTCAATTTAAGCATGGGTAGTTCATTAGCATCCATTTCAGCTAAGTCAAAGAGGTTCTGTAGTCAGAAGTTGGTTGGTCAGAGGATGCGCAATCCCCATAGCTGACACTGTTCAAAAAAAGTCTGAAAATTCAGACAAATGGGTGGAAAGCAAAATTACATACTAAACGTCTCAAAATTCAGACTGTTTTGTCTGAATTTGTTAGTATGAATTTATAGTATGAATTTTCAGTTATCTTAGTCTGAATGGCAGATCTTCATTTAAAATGAAGTTTTCTTGACGCTCTTTGCCTTCTTCTTTAAGTTGAATTGTATTCTAAGTAATTAGATAGGAATTTGTTATTGTACCTTACCTACCTACCCGGAGTCGAACCTCGGACCTTTGGATGGGTAATCTTTCATCCTTGACCACACGGCCACGACGACAAGACTGAGGGGTCACCGACGGCTACCTGCCTGATCCTACAGGTGTGCTCCCGGGACTAAACTAAATTTTCTTGTCTGAATTTCAGACTCAGACCTTCGTCTGAATAAATACTCTGCACTGTTAAAAATGTTTTGAAATTTCAAACCCAAAATTAACTGAATTTTCAGAATTGTAATGAAATTTCATGTTTGAACTGAAAATTCAGAATTGTTTTGATATTTCAAGACAATGTTATGAAAATTTAGAATTGGTTAATGAAATGTCAGTTTTCGTACTGAAGATTCAGAACTAGGTAATGAAATGTCAGTACGGTTCTGAAGACTCAGAGCTGCGTAATGAAATGTCAGTATGCTACTGACAATTCAGAGCTGCGTTATGAAACTTCAGTTTGGTACTGAAAATTCGGAGCAGGATGATAAAATTCGAATAGCATTAGTTAAGTTATGTACATCTCTGTGGCCTCTAGTATCATAGAAAATCAAGAACATTAATATAATCGCAAGCGGAAAAGCGTAGTTATTTTCGCAACAACATTACCCTGCACCGATACTGTCGCGGTCAAGCGCACTTCCACTATTTGCCACCAGATGGCGCATCGATCAAGTAACTGATACGTTTCTTTTACGTGTCAAATATCTATTAAATTTTTTAAATTTCCTATCCGAACTATTGATGGTCTGATAGAGCAGCGTCTCCCTGATGTACCTGCACATTTGTTTTTCATTTTTTGTCAATATTCAATATTTCACATTAGTCTTAAATTGGCTCTCGCTCAGCACTTAAAACGCGAGCACATCCACCGTCCGGCGCCCAGCTCCCCGTATTTGTGTGCCATCTGCACGGGTGTAAAGCACAGTCAATTTTTACAAACTTAAACCAATTTGGTGTTGGTTGAAGTGCTCCGGGAATCACAATAGCAAAGATACTAACGAAGGACAAAATATGCGATGTTAAATTTCACTGGGAATTTCCTTACACAGATAATGAAATTGCAGTGCAGGTCCTGAATTATGCAAACAATATCGTACTTAAATTTCATTACTAGCTTTTAATTTTTCATTACGCAAATCTTAAATTTTAAAACTTGTTGTACTGAAATTTCATTACCATTTCATGTAATGAAATTTCAAAACCAAAAAGTTAAAATACCAATTGTTGAAAGATGTCTTCAATTACCTTTTTCTGAACTCATTTGATGTTATCCATCTCACTTCCTAATCCCATTTATGGTGAGTATGAGATATTTCAATAAAGTATTTTTTTCTCTTAAACCAATGCCCGTGTACGCCAAAAATAGTGGATTTTTCGAATCCCACTCCCATGTATAATGAGTCTCGCTCAGAACACCTTCCCGGATAGATTAAAGACCTTGTAAAGGCTTCCTATCGGGGAAGACCCCCTTCAGTTGATTTATTTGACAAAGCTGGTGAAAGGCCAACATAACCTCAGATTTCATTTGTCATTTTACGGAAAACAGCGACTTCCCCACGTTCCAAACAAACTCAAAACGATTGCTCATGATAATTGAAAGTGTTGACGTCGTACAAACACACTGAATAAATCCAATTCCTTGTATTTATGTGCATTACAAGTTCGCGCATGCGCACAACGCCCTCACCAGCGCCAAAACTACTCTAAGTCCAAAGTGAACGAAATCAGAAACAATATAAAGAGGACGTCTAAGTTTTTAGACGACTAGACTTAGATGATTAAAAGAGGTCTAATATACATCTGTTGACATCTACGACTAGGTTTCGTCGATAAACAGACGACCCGAGACGATCTATTTCTTGTCTAACCTGTCTATGTACTTAGACGTCTAGCACTAGACACAGTGTAGACGTGTCGAGATGATCTAACTCTTATCCCATCCCATCTACAATCTTAGACGTCTAGCGATAGACAACGTTTAGACGTGCCGAGACGATCTAACTCCAATCTAATTGCAACAGACGAGGAACGAGTTCGATCATTCGCCGGCCGCGGGTCCATCACGTCCTCTGTGTTTTCTGAAGTACGCTCACATAAATCTTCCAGGGAAAACCTTGTTGTATAATTAATAAGGCACTTTTTATGCCATTTAGCCTTGTTCCTAATCAGAGTTTCTTTGACCCCACCTTCTTCGTCGTAGTTGTTAGCTGTTCGCTTACAAGGGAAAAGATGGTCTGAATTTTTGCTTCGCAAGACTTCTACATTGCTAGCAAATAAGTCGTAGCCGACGTATCTTTGCGAAACATTTGGATTTCCTGCTGGACGCGCTACTTTCTTTCCACTGTTGTCTTGACAAATGCAGCATATTTCCCAATTTAATTTGCCCTCCACAGTTTAAAGCGGTAGAGGTTCGGCAAGAACCACTTTTTGTTTGCTATTTTGACACAAATCTGTCGAGAGATAGGCAAGACGTAAAGCAAAGAAAGTAAAGCCATTCTACACACGCCACCATTGTAAAGTCGTGAACCGAATCAGACGAAAATAGCCGCGTATGCATGAAGTTAATGCTCTCTCACGACAGACGTGCGAAAAAAGGAGGAAATGCAAACAACGTCGGCGAAAAGGATCTAAATTTATTTGTCCATACGTTTTGTTATGGTGAAACCAAGTATCTTTACGCCGTTACAGCTCCCCAACCAAGGCGTTCTCGATTGCAAACGACCTTAGTTATTCAGAACACATAATATGAACATTGACATTTGGTCCCGGACGTTCCATATTCGAAATACGGAGGTCTGTTACACACTGCCCTACCCTCCGTTATTACGTGGTATTACGGCCGTATTACGCGGTATTACCGCGAGGATTACGAAGTAAAAAAAAAAACAACTAGAATTATAGCCAGCTGTCCTGACGGGTCTGCTGATCTTTCGTCTCCGGTTGACACGAGAGGAGCGGGTTGTTGACGGAGGCCCAGGTCACTTAGAAAGTGGAAGTTTAGCTTCTTGCTGATGAGCTGCTGCAGTCGTTAGTCACCAAACCCCAACAACGCTCAGAAGAGTGGCAGCAGTCAGGCCGGAGGGGGGAGGGGGGGGGCGGTATTTAAAGCATATCTCAATAGCATGAACAGCAACTAACCTACGATGAAAATGTGTTTGCCATCGACGGTTTTTTATACAACTCCTTCCGGAAAACTCCGTCCCGTCCGTGGCCCACACCCTTTCCTCCGATGGGGCTCCTTGTCGTTGTCGAGGGGGCCATAACTCTCAGAATCCTGTGTACATCTGCCTGGGAATCATCAGTATAAAAATAATTCGAAATCAACAGAAATCGTTTAAACTAAGTGGGAAACTAATGAAATTAATACAAAGTAGTCGAATTAAGCGTTTTCTGCCTCTAGAAAACCTAAGAAATGGATATAAGTGGACGGGAATTACTGGTAATCACTGAGAATCAAGTGTTTTGGAAATCATGAGCACACATCAAAAGGGAGTTATTGCCCCCTCGGTCGCAATACAGAAGAAAAAAGCATAACAAAACTCGAAATATCTTCATTATTTGGAGCTTGCCTGCGAAACACTACCCTCAGGCTGGTTTTGTCCCTTTAAACTCTGAAGAATTAACACATATTTTTTTTATTTTCTACAACGCTCAAAACTCTTACGCTTTGTGATTCCGCAAAATTATAGACGTGCTCCGCGTTCAGATAAATATCCTCACCCTACAAATGCGCGAAAAGTTTTTTCAAAATTAAGTCGGTGGCCTCATGTGCACTTTCTTATTAATCTGAATTCACACTTAATAGTCGTCCGTTGGGTCAGTTCGATTTAAGTCGATTTTGTGTTCATTTCACCTAATATTCGGTAGCAGCAATGTTGTATTATGCGGAAACGACACTCAAATCGGGCAACTGCGGGTAACACTTTCCGTTCGGCAAAGGCCTGAATTATCCAAAGCGAAGCGGAGGCGTCTAGGGCCCAAGTGGGGAGTCGGAAAGGGTCGACAGTGTTCTGGTTTTTTCTTTTTCCTGCGTTGAGTTCATCCGGAAAAAATGTTCAAAATAATCTTTCTCTGACAATTTTAAAATATCGACCATTTTGGTTCATATTTTGAACTTACGCGTCAAGATCTCGGACCCCATGGGTCGAAAACTTGTGTGCTGCGGGTCAAATCAAGATATCCCTTAGCCTGCTACCCTAAACGTGGTTCCAGCAAACATAGAGGTACTGTTAGGAGTATATTGGAAGTTTTAACACCTTGCGTATGTGGTCTTTTCTGTCTTTTATGGCTACTCTCTGTGCTTATTGCCAACACAGGTACGGCTCGCTGTTACCAAACCTTTCTTACTGAAAATTCACAGAAACCAGTGTGGCTCTCGTGTTTGTGTTGTGACAAAGCAGTAATGCCAGTTGCTGCACTTGACGTGGTGGGTAAGGGACGCGTACTTTGACAGTACAGTAGGAAGCAAGTAGTTTAAATAGGGGGCACCACCTCAACGAACATGTCAGCAGGCATCGAGGTATTCATCATGAACGGAGTAGCTGTAACTCTAGCCCTTGTGGGGGTAATCGCTTTTCAGGTGAGGAGCTGTGACCATTTTTGAGGCATTTTTTTCGCCAAGTGCTTTTCAAGTCTCTGACCATTTCAAAAGTGCCTTTGCAAACGATCTCACTTGTAAGGGCAAGTATTTTAGTTGTTTGTTAATTGATATCACGTTTGAAATACTTGTAAAAAAGTTTCACAACAAAATATGGTTTCCAGTTTTACGAGATGGGTGGGTACATTTTGGTTCGGGGCCCGATTTCTGTTCCAGTGCACAATCAATAGGGTGGATCAAAAATCTGGAATTGCAAAGGCGTTTTTATAGAATAGTAATGTAATGTATGAGAAGAAAATCTGCAAGGTCAATTTTTGCCCACTTTTGTAGCCTCGAGAGGGTCATGAAGCTAGGTAGCTATTTCGCCCATGGATAGTCAAGGAAAGAGCTGTCTCTTAAAAGTTGCCAAAGACTTCTAGAAAGTTGTTCTGCGCTGTGCGATATCGTCTTCACTGAAGAAGAAGACTAGTGTTTCCAATCGGCCGGGCAAGCCAGGCGAGCGCCTTGCCCGGCACAGTCTGTCTCTGTCCCACCCATTTGGACGCAGATGTGAGGGAGAGAGACAGACTGTGCCGGGCGAGGCGCTCGACTGGCTCGCCCGCCCGTTTGGAAACATTAAAGAAGACTCTTCAGTTCCGACGAATGACCCGAAATACGCGAAATAGTCGGTGACATAGTCGCGAAATACAGCGAAATACCGCGAAATACCCTGAAATAATCCGAAATAGGCGAGAAATAACCGAAATTGCAGGAGATATACCAGGAAATACACCGTAACATGGTTGCCACAACTCTAGAAAACCTTCGCTCGCGCTGTTCACTAACTAACGACTGAATTGTAAATTTACCACAGCAATTGTGAGGGACAGAATTTGGCGTGGAATTAATATTGTTCAGACACAAAAGAGTGCGCCTCCTCAAGTAAAGCGAAATAATTATTACGAACCTCTTTTTCTACTTGTAGGTGGCCCCGGCATTGTCAAGCAATGGCTTTAAAGTTTCTGGTAAGTACACTTTTTAAACATTTCTAAGTAGGTTTTGCCGAAGTACACTCGTCAAAACATTTAGCGGTCCATTTTTTTACGCCTGGATTAAATTATATCCCCCAGCACCAAGGAAGTCGAGATTTGACATACAGGGTGGGTGATCCGCGCCGTGGTTTTTTAGCCCGCCCTTCTGCTTTTAAAAAAGCATTAAAGCGGGCTTATGCAACCG